AAAAAAAAAGTGCGGCCAGAAGAGGTTTAACTGTTACTGAGTCCACATTTGACAGTCACACTCTCTTCTGTCATTTCATGCCTGAGCTTTTTATGACTGTGATAACTTTGTGAGCTTTATTTCAGGGATGTCTGTTATGATAGCTGATCCACAGCCCATCTCTCTCTCTCTTTGTCTGTGTGTGGCTGCAAAACTCATCACTTAAATGAATCCCAGTTTCAGAGAGTAATAGAAGACTTATCTACTCAGGCACTGTTTAATTTAGGATTAGGTAACCAAGGAAAGACCTGCCTTCTCTAAGGTACCGTTGTGTGTCCTTTTGTTTTGCCTGCTCTGTGAAATATCAACAAGGGTCCATTTGAGCCTTGGCAAAAACTGAATTTTCGATTGTTTTTGTGTCAGTTGAAGGAATGGAGTAGGGGAAGTTTTCAAGTTAAATATGTCCTAGGCTTATATGGTAGAAATCTAACTCATCATGCCTAAGTATCACATGGGAAAAAAAAAAAAAGATTAAATAGATTGGAGTAGATGATAGACAAGAAGGGAACCATCTCAACAACATTTGGAGTTGTTACTGAAATTCTCTTTTTTTAATGTGTGTTTGTCTGACCGTAGAGAATAGAGAATCATAATCACAATAGGCTGTTGATATTCAAATTAATTTCAATAATCGAAAAATTATGGAAATAATTTAATTAATTCAGTATGTTAGGAAGAATTTTTTTTTCATTTTTCGTCATCGAATTTTTTTGTACTATTAAAAGACAATCTATCACATTGTCAACTGCCATATTGCAAATTAGGATTCTGGGACCCAAGGAGGTTAATTGATTTGTCCGAAGCCATATGACTAACATATATGGCAGAGTTTGGTTATAGTGTGATCCCACTGATTCCAGAAGCCATTATTTTCTAACCTCAGCTGTGTCATCTTCCCATTAATCTCTATAGCCTTTTATCGTTCAGAATAGTTTCGATATATTAAGTGTGGCGCTATACCTGCCACTGCTAACCAACTAATTGCCCACAGCTGTAGAAGTTTCACTTGTCTCCTTGTGGATTCCCACTGTCGCCTGGGGTCAGGTACAGACAGTCCATCCACATGCTGCTTCCCACTTTGCAAGCCATTGGATACGTCACAGACCACAAGGCAAGCTACCGGCTTCCCCAAGTGAATATTAATACATGAAAAAGTTATTTAAATGAGTTTTAAAAGTTACTCATTTGAGTCCAGGAAACCATATGGCCTACAACTTTCATTTCTTCTGTAGAGGAGGTATAATTCACTACAATTTTTTTTCAAGTCAACATAAAAGATTTTTGGAGTCAAAAACAGACTTTTAACCCAATGTTTCCCCTTAATCTTAGCAAACCTAAAGAGCTGCATGAGATTCAGTTAGTCGTGGACGACTCATCATTCTAAAGGAAATCTGGTTGTTACCCAATTGCCAGCTTTTATTCAAGAGAGAAAGCATGCTGGTCATCCTGTTTGGCCCTTACTTATAAATTCCCAAGACTTTTTCATTTTTTCATTTACTTTGTCATAATTAATTTCCTTGGGCCTTATGCTCATGAGATTAGAAGCAGTTCAAATTCCTGCAAGTGTTTCTTTAAATGTGCTTATTTATCTTTTATTTTTGCTTTCTTTCTAATAAAAAGAAGGTCGGGGAGAGAAGATCAATGACTCTTGTCATTTTTAAACGGGCATGTGAATAGTAATGAGAGTACAGCCAAGTGTAAGTGCTACACTGGGTTCGTGTTCCAGAATATGGAATTTAAAATGGGGGAATGGCGTCCTATTTTTCTGTGTAAATCCCTGACTAACATGATTTCATCAGAGCCAGTTAGGACTAAGATTATAAAATCGGTGAACATTGTCACCTGTGTCCATTCACATTTCTTTCTTCTTCCCCAAGCTCAGTTTCTGTGGTGTTTCCCATTTTCAACATCTGCCCACTTCACTCTCTCCCTACCTGACATCTACTGCCTATGTTTTGTTTCAGCGGCCTCTTTTCTGAAAAGATTAATTTAATCACAACAGCTTCGAAACCAAAATACTACCTTTTCTGGTAGTATTTTCACATACGAAAAGAGGCTTTCAAAACTTTTTAGAAATGTTTTATATATATATGTGTGTGTGTGTGTGTATTTATATATATTTATGTGTGTGTATATATATATATATATATATATTTAGAGACATAATCTCTCTTTATCATCTAGATTAGGGTCCAGCGGCATAGTCAAAGCTCACTGCAGCCTTGAACTCCCAGCCTCAACCATTCCTCCCACCTCAGCTTCCTGAGTATACAGGCGTGTGCCACCACACCAGGCTGAAAAGAGGCTTTGGAAAAAAGAGATATTTAACCTAAAGAACAGAATCTCAAATGGTTGCATTTCAGATGTGCACACAGCTGAAGTCTGTGGGGGAGAGACAGCTGGGGATGTGGGTTTGAAATGGGGAGAGTGGGTGGGATTTTTCCAGTGGTACGAGCATTTCTGAGTTATAACATTTGGCTGATCTTTCTCCTGTGTGCCTGAATAGGCTGGATTTACACTTTCGAGAACTATTCTTTTTCCAACTCGTTCTTTTGGTGGCTCACTATGTTAGCTAGACTCCTGTCCACATATCAATTTATACCTACCCTAATATATAAGAACGATATATCTACTTTAACTATAGAATTGGCGTTTATATGGAATTATTGGCTAATTATTTCCCACTTAGGTTATTTTCTCCTCTTTACGACAATTATGTCTTCTGAATATATTGTCTGCTAGGATACCTAAAAGGTGGCAGTGTTACCATTTTGATATACATGCTATGATAATGATGATGTTTAATTAATTAAAGGCCCATCATATATTGTTCAGTTCCTCCAATCACCTCCCCTTTTTTCTTGTTCGTATGTCTGAGAATTAGCTTAAATGGCTATACAGAGGGCTACGGAAAAACACAGCTTACCATGTTGACTACCACTGTCTCCCGCTGACACCCTCTTGAAAAATATAGTAAGCTCTGTTTGGGGGTTACTACCTGAATCCTTTTTACTAAGGATAACGTTTATAAAGTTGGATATTTAGAGTTCATCTATTGTAAAAAGCGATAATGACTTCCCTGCTCAGCACGTGCTAATTTTAGTTTCTTGTTAAGATGACACGAAGTCTCGGAGCCGAACTCGGAACCTTAGAAGCTGCTTAGCATCTAGTTCTTTTTCTGCTCTAGTCGCCTTCATTTCACCCTTTTGTCTTGAAAGGCTGCTTCAAAATGGGAAACTCCCTGGAAAATGTGTAGCTTCCTTGTGCTTTACGCGGTTAAATCAAAATCTGAAAGGAGGTGGTCAAGGATCAGTACCTTCCCCCCAAAGAGAGCACAGCAAAGTCTTTATGGACTTGAGGACTAGCAGATCGTGTCGATGGCAGGTGGTCGGTTTGGGGTTTCTTTTCAATGTTGCTATCTTTTGTTTTAAGTTACCTTTACACAAAGTCTGTTAAACCAGTGCCCTGGGTGCACCTGAGCTCAGGTGAATATATACAGCAAACTCTGTCAGTAAGGGAAATCCAGAACACAGAAAATGGAGGAAAACTCCAATGTCATACACAAAAAAATATGGGGTTAGATTTACATTTTTATAGATATAACTTCTTTCAACTGTAAGACTATGCAATTCTATAGAACCAAAGTTAACATAAGCTATTTGTTTCCAGGTTCTCTGCAGTATTTTATACTGATTGACAGTTCAAAAATATTTGTGTATTAAATAATGTACAGACATTGGTGAGTAGAGTACAGGAGTGCCAACACTACTGGCTTAAGACTATTTGTAATCTAGCATGGACAGTTGTAACATTGCTAGAGATGTGGTTGAGATAAAGGATGTACTGTATTCAGAATTTCCCGTAGTTCTTGGTGGGAACACTATGTAGGCCCTTTACCTATCAATGCAATTATCTTAAATAGTTGATTATTTTCTGTGAACAGTCTTACTGGGTGAGTAGCAGTACTGGCTTATATGTGGTTCACCAGCACCACGCATGACTGTTTTCCTCAGAAAACGAGGTGAAGCATTATCAAGAAATGTGAGCAAATGTTATGAGATCCAATGGATGCTTTTCTTAAAACTGTTTTGGAACCACGTCATCCTCGGAGCAGTGCTAGAAAGTTCAAGAGAAAGTTTTTCTGTTCCTAAAAATCACTTAGTTTCTTAATTTGGAAGTAGTTTGATATCTCGTGTGTTTGGATTAGCATTCTATTTTTCTTGAAAATAATTTATTGTGTGATGCCCTGTTCTCCATGAATGTAAATCACGCCCTGCAGGCTTTTAAATGACTTGATGTCTCCGCAGATCTAATTTTGGTATATTTGTATCTCAAATAATTCGCCAACTCAATATTTTGGCTTAGCAATCCAAATCCAATTGTGATCCAAGTAGCAGGCACTCACATTGGATGTACAGAGACTTGACAAGCAATTAGCAATGAATATTTAAGCGTCTTCATTACCCTTGCATGAGGAATGCAGATGGCATTTGGGAAGATGGCAGCCAGAGGGCACCACTGTGAATTATGTTGCTATCATTTGGTCACCTGACTATTGGAAGATTTTTCTCTGGGCCTCATGCCATGCCTATACTTCTACTGTTTGGCTAAAAATAAAGCAGGTCTTCCAAATATAAAACAGGTTGCTTCCATGAAATTTCTGTGCGCATTTTGTGATTCAGGAAGGTTGTCTCCAAGGATCCCAGCCTGTATCCTTTAGGCATACCAGACCCAAATGCCAAGACTTCGTAGAGGTCTATGTGGGTCAGAGTTCCTTCAAAAATCCTGCTGATCCTTCCTCTAATTCCCCCGGTGTCATGGGCTATACATGCAAAGGTGAACAAATCAGCATCCTGCCCTTTCCAGAAGCTAATGTAGTATGTATGGCCCAAGGAAAGAAAACTGTCTTCAAGTAATTACACTTTCCAGACTGCACTCTCATTATAAATTTTTCTTTTAAGGAAAAAACAACACTGGAGAGTCTGACTCAGCAACTGGCAGTTAAGCAGAATGAAGAAGGAAAATTTAGCCATGCAATGATGGATTTCAATCTGAGTGGAGATTCTGATGGTTTGTGAAAATCGTTCCTATCTATTCCAATCATGTGCAGGAGTGTCCGTGTAGTGCAAATTAAAACTGCTAAAAAGTAGACAAGGCCTCCTCAGGTCACATACACTTGAGTGGTTCCCATGTGCCGAGCACCCCACTAAGTAATTTGCATAAATCATCTCATTTGATTCCCCACACAGCCTATGAAAGGAATGCCATGACACAGAGACTGACCCTTAAAAGTTTTGAAATTATCTTTTCCAAGATTACAGGTCACTAAGGGCAGAGGCAGGACTTGGATTTAAGATGTCATGATTAGCCCCGGCACAGTGGCTCATGCCTGTAATCCCAGCCCTCTGGGAGGCTGAAGTGAGAGGATCCCTGGAGCTCAGATTTTGAGACCAGCCTGAGCAAGACTGAAACCCCATCTGCTAAATATAAAAACATTAGCCAGGCATTGTGGCAGGTACCTGTTGTCCCAGCTGCTTAGGAGGTTGAGATAAGAGATTGTTTGAGCCCAGGAGTTTGAGGTTGCTGTGAGCTGTGATGCCTCGGCACTCTACCCAGGGCAACAGTGAGAGACTATGTCTCCACCCCCCCCCCCAAAAGATGATGGCATGATTCTAAAGCAAATGCTCTTCATAGCTCTCTACCCTTCCACTTCCCTATTTCGTTTACCCAGAAACACTTCTCAGAAATTTGTATCTATCAGCTTGTTTTTCACTTTCCATTTGTCAAGCCCTGACCAGAATACAGAGCTTAAAGCACATATGCAGAATAGTTTAATTTACATCCTTGAAACCCTTCCCTCCTTTGCTCCCTACCTGCACAGTTAAGTATCCCACCTGCTACCAGTAACCTAACTGGAATCCAGCTGAAACCTTCCTGCTTCACTCATTCGCCTCAAGCCTGTGTTCTCTGTGTCATCTTGAACCTTGATGCTCTAATTTTAATACCAGAGCAAAGAGGGAAAAAGAAGGGCAGTTCTCATACAGTGCCCTGCCCGGGACCCTCTCTGTAGTGTCAGGTGACATGCATGCTTTCGAAGAGTTCCTCTGGCACACAGCCTTTAACATCACTTCTGTAACAAGGAAGTTCCCTGCATGTAGAAAGCACTGCACAAAGGCAAACCCATAAGCAGCAGGCTTTCAGAGAGAGGGGGAATCCAGCTGGAATCCTCCAACATCCACAGCCATCTACTTTCTCTACTCCACTTGACTTGGGCCAGTTCTACTTTTAAATCCAAGTCTACACTTAGCCAAGAGATTAGACAAACCTCAACATTGAACCACATAAGTGTGTCAAAACGGAATTTTATTCAGTTGGCTATCCAAGAATAATCTGTATTTTTCTTGCTTAATGTGTCCAAACATTCCCTTCTATTATATTTTCTACTTCACTTGAGCTAAGATAAACCTGACCTCTGTACATACAAAGAGCTTGTTTAGATTTGATGAAGTCGCCTAATGTTCATTTTATTGCCTCTGTTGCTGTAAGGTGTAAGAACGTGAAAAGGCAGATGTCCAGATGATCCTTTGCTAGTTACAAACCCATTGTAGAAAGATGTTGCCATATATTAGCACTCATTTTTTTGTCAGTAAAGAAAACGACTACTGGTAATAACACATTTCATAAATTTTTAGCTATATTACATGATAAAATATACCCATGGTAATCAGCATTAAAACATCAAAGTTTTTGTTACTGTTATTTGTTAAATTCAGTCATCCTTATATGTGAACTATTTTCCACCTTTCATCAGGCCAAAAGCATGTTACGAAGGAGAAATATCGAGAAACTCTACCAACACTTAAGCTATGTTTTTTGTTTGCTAATATAGAAGTCTTGGAGTCTGGGTAATTTTGATTGATTTCTATGCCTTTGAATTAAGAAAAGAAGAGGAATATGCAGGAAGAAAACAAAAGAGTGCTTTTATTGATATATAAGCTTTAGAAATCACCAAAGTATTTAAAGTTTTTGAATATTACCGAAGTAGATCTGCTCCATTTTTTTTTTTTGTGATGATAATCAGTTAAAACCTACTGTGAGAGTTTGACAATTTCCCCCTGGTGCTCCTTACTTTATCTGCCTAATCTCAAGTATCTTGGAAGATGATTAATCCACTGAATCCATTCTAAGACATCACATCAGCCTAAAAGAATGAATGCAGCCTCCCAAGGTTTCCTTGTGATGCTTGGGGTATGTTTTTACCCTCAGTAAATCTGACTGATGGAAATGTAACTATCAGTAGGTCTCCTCAAATAAATTAGAGTTGAGAACAGGCCAGAGGAATGAACTGATTTTTCCACCTTAAACATTTGACAGTGGACTTCTTTAGAAATTGCAGTAATATAACTATTCATGTGTTCTCTTCCCTAACATCTGTACATATCTTTTTAAGGAAAGACCTATCATTGCTGCCTCAGCATCTACCATGCATTTGTTAGCACATAATTTCACAGAAAGGCAAAGCATATTACAAGGAAATATCTATTATTGTACTTTTAACCCAAAATCTCATCTAACAGTCACTTTACTTATGTAAACTCAGAGGAAATGGACAAGAGAACTCTGCATTCTAACAGACACATCCTCACCTACACATATAACCATCCATTCTGCCAAGTAGATTAGTGTTCCATGGTTATTTGAACATCTTTGCCTAGTAAATATTTCTGGGGGTGGCACCTGTGGCTCAGTGGGTAGGGCACTGGCCCCTACATGGAGAGGGGAGAGTTCAAACCCGGTCCCTAGACAAACTGCAACAACAACAATGAAAAAAAAAACAATAGCCAGGCATTGTGGTGGGCGCCTGTAGTCCCAGCTACTCGGGAGGCTGAGGCGAGAGAATCACCTAAACCTGGGAGTTGGGAGGTTACTGTGATGTGTGTGAGGCCATGGCACTCTATCGAGGATGATAAAGTGAGACTCTTCTCTCTACAAAAAAATAAGTCCTGGCATGCTTATTGATTTAACCTAACTATTCTCTGCATCAAAAAAGCTTACTTATCTTCAGCTTTCTTGTGCGCTCTTGAAATCAAATGATGAAACTGTCCATTGAAAGAAAGGAAAAATAGATTGGAAATGGATTAAAAACACAACTACCACATTTCTGTCACTGAAAATTTTATCACAAAAATTTTATAAACAAGCATCTGTCTTAAGAACTGGAAGTGCCATTATCAGAAGTATTTTTTTGGTTTTGGACATTTTAATAGACTAAAAAACCATCATGTAAGAACGAGAGTTGCCAGAAGTCTTAACACTAACATGAAGTGATATTCCCTGTTTTTAGGAAGTGCTGGAGTCTCAGAGTCAAGAATTTATAGGGAATCCAGAGGGCGTGGTAGCAATGAGCCCCACATAAAGCGTCCAATGAACGCCTTCATGGTGTGGGCTAAAGATGAACGCAGGAAAATCCTTCAGGCCTTTCCCGACATGCACAATTCCAACATCAGCAAGATACTGGGTAAGAAAAGCTTTAAGAATCAAGTGATATATGGAATAAATGCACTGTTCTATTTTTTGCAGTTGTGAAAAGATACTGGATTTGGAGGCCAGAGCGCCCATGATACCTGCTTGTCTAAAAATTAAGCATCATCATTGACGTTTCTTCTGATGGAAGCATTCTGTTGCCCAATTTCTATAGCTAATTCAGTTGTGTGTGCTCATACGAATTATTGTAATGTTTTCTTCAAATATCTAGAAATACAGGGTCCAGCAGAAATAATATTCTTCTGTGCTTGAGTATAATATTGTTATGTTACAGAATTATGTGAAAGTAATACCAATTACAAATAACAGCCCCTTTTTGGTGAGGTGGTAATCTCTACCAGTCTTTTATCCCAAAATCATAAGCATAATGCTATCACACTCAAGCACAAACAGGTGTTACCTCTGTGAATACCTTGTATTTCACACATGAGCCACCAAACCCTGGTATTGACCACTTATACTCTTTCCCTTGAGAACTATGCACAAGTTATTGCTAATCTTGAGATCTCTTTCTTGTTTCATCATCCTTTGTAACACAAGGATAAGGACCTTTGTGTGTAGAATTCGTCGTATTGTGGGGGTAAGATTGGAGGTGGGGATGATGTTTGTTCTAGTGCTATAATTGAAAATCAGTTTGGGTGCTCAGAACCCATGAAAATGTACAGTGTACATTTTTAAATTCATACCTTAGAAACCTTAGTTGCTAAAGTTACTTTTAGTAATACTTAGTAACTTTTAATAATTTTCACTATTATTAAAAGAGAAATTTTCATGTCATCTTTCAGCTTAAGAGAAAACAGAACACACATTTACTCTACATGCATAGACACTGAAGCACACAGAAAAAAAAAAACCGGTGGGGAGAAAGGGTACCAATTAAAAAGAGTCCCATTATGGACCCGTGTAAGTCCCAGAAGAAAAAGAGAAAGGAGGATTTCTTTTTTGGTGCCTTTCTCTTAATATTATTGTAACCTTTGCTGTCATCATCTTCATCATCATCTCATAACCATCTTTAATTCATCTTCATGTACTCAGCTAAGCAAGTATTAATTATTAATTCTCTGACTTCTAAGAGATAAATAATAAAAATAAGGCTCAGCCCCCATAGCTCAGTGAGTAGGGTGCAGGCCACATATATGGAAGTTGTTGGGTTTGAGCCTGCCCTGGGCCTGCCAAACAACAATGGCAACTGCAACCCAAAAATAGCCAGATGTTGCGGCAGGTGCCTATAGTCCCAGCTACTCAGGAGGCTGAGGCAAGAGAATCACTTAAGCCCAAGAGTTTGAGGTTGCTGTGAGCAGTGATATCATGGCACTCTACTGCGGGTGACAAAGTAAGACTCTGTCTCAAAAAAAAAAGAATAGAATTTTCTAACTCTATCAGAAAATTTTGGCTTTAGCAAATAAAATAATTTATCAGAATTAATAAACCTTCATTAAAATCCATAATGCACCTGGAACTGCATGTAGTTGACAGTGGCTGTCTTGGTTCTTTGCCTTGAGGAAGTGATCACCGGGAAGTGGTTGCTACAGTGATACATGTGTTTTTATGATTCCATGTCTTCAGCAAAGCTAATAGATGCCACCTGGTCCCCAATGCACATTTGTAAAGAGGTCAAAACAGAAACCATTAGCCACTTAAACTTGTATTTCAAGTTTTACCGAAAATGATTTTGAAATACAGTATTCAGATGAATGTTATCTCAAAAGACATAGTATGTCAAGCTTGCAGCAGACAGAAAATATGAAATTCTTAGGTGTAAAGATACATAGCCATGCATAATCCAAAACTGGAATGATCAAGAAGAAATGCATATTTTTTGCCACTCCATCACCTTTGATCTGTTCTTTCTTTTTATGACTGTATTCTACCTTCCATAGGAAATGTCCAGTCTTTAAAAACCAACATACCTATTGCATTTGGGAAAAACTTTACAGAAGGATATTTTATGTAAACACAGC